CTTACTACTAGTAACAAGAAGCTAGTAGTTAATTTAGTTGATTTAGTTTAGTCGTATTAGCTATGCAACGCTAAACCAATCGTTCTCCCACGAAGCGACACCTCGGCCGCTCCGACCAAACCGCCGGTGCTCGGCACCGATTCCCGCGGTCCCGCCCGAGCTCGCCGACGGCCTGGGTGACCTGGGAGCAACAAGGGTGGCCATTCACAGGGGTGGCCAGCCAGTCCATGTCTAAACAAGGTCCAGGATGGGTCCAGGTATCAAGTGATGCTCATGAAGCCCTTTCAAAAGTGATTTTACTGGCTTGGCGCAGGACAAAGTTGCAAGGTCACATTGGCTTCAAAAGGATTGGACATGTTGTCTGAAGGATAACCACTTGCTTTGCTGCATTCTATGTTGGCAAACTGGTGTCTGGCAGATAGTTAAATCATCATATCCCACTAGCGAAGAGTGTTGAAAACACTCTGACACAAACAAGGTGATTAGGACAAGGAGCCCCCATGAGGTTCACCACAAAACCAAACAACCCCCCAACTTCACGAACACAACATCTCAGCCCCCTGGTAGCAGGACATCCTTCCAAACCCTTTGGACACTGAACTGTTGGGAACTGAACTGCTTATCATGGAGTGACTATAATCATTTTAATTAGTAGGTAATGATTTCAATTATCGAGTATTATCGATATGAATCAAGTTAAATATAGCTAAATTAAAATTTGATTACAGGTTAGACTAGATGGAGTTAGAGAATGTTTGCAACCTGTCTTGGACTCTCCATCATCGTCACTCCATCCGATTCCATCCCCAACACACACAGCACCCAGTTCGTTCGAGAAATCTCCCGCACCTTGAGGACTTGGAGTCGGTGCGACTCCGAGGCCTAGTTTTCCCGGGTGGAAAAAGGTGAGAAGATGAGAAGATGAGGTTGTGGGGAGCAATTGATCACATGTTCCATTTTTTCTTGATCTGTTTTGTCAAGTCAATTGATCACACCATGCAGTGAAGTCCATTTTGGCATTTTGCTATTGTCGTCACCAAGTGGATCACACAATTGGATGATAAATGCGGTTCCAAACAATGCAGTCTCATTGCTATTCCTCCCAATTAAAGCGTCACTTCGCGTTGCAATATAGACAGCTGAACCAACTGCTTTCTGCGCTCCATGACGAGGTCTAGTTAGAGTCTAGTTGAAGTAGGTATAGACTTCTCTTTGAACTTCCAGATCTCGGAACCGATTTCCTTTTCAAGACAATGTTCCCTTCTCTTTTCATATCCACCTCTTGAGCTCCAGGCCGAAGTCAGCTCTTTGGCCACTTGGATCAATCGGGCCTCCTGCTCACCGAGCCGCGCGTCGACCTGAGACGCCCACGTGTTTTACGTGCTCCGGTCGACGTGTCACGGCTGAGTGACAACGGCTATATGTTGAAGGCCAGAATGGAATCAAGGTCGAACACATCCTACTGAAGGTTGATCTGAAAAGGTTGAATTGGACACATCCTTCCGGGAACTCTAGATCATGAATCTCACGATCTGGACGGTCATTCCATCAGTCCTCTCTTGTCGCACCAGCCAAACATATATATATATATCAGTTTATCAATGTGTATCATGCACATCAACAATTAAACGATATAAAATGCCTAACATGGCATCGGTCCACGATGCAAGAAGGAACGTGGCTACAGGGGTTGTCAAGTTGGCAAACTCCTTGTTCCGATGTCCCAAGGACTTTGCTTCAAGAACTCGTCCCACTTAACACTGAACAGTTGTCCAACAGTTTGTCCTACACCTCGAGTTTACAGAAACTCCGCCAAGGGGTCCCTATATGGCTGTCCCAGGAGCTTCCACACTTTGATCGGCTTGCGGATTAGATTTGGAGATCTATATATATATAAATAAATTCAAAAAAAAACACTAAATCAATTTAAAATATATTAAATCCATGTCTTCCCCCAAACCACCCTGACTTTCAACTAGGTACTGATCAATGGTTTGTTTTCTTGATCAAAGGGGGGTCGAGCTTGTGGACAACCCTGCCGAACAATGATTGGGTCCCTGCCAGCGCTGAATCATTGATAAAGAATTCAGAATGACTCTCAAAACATGACCATTCTTGTACAAGGACGCTACTAGGGACTCCTGGCATCGCTACTAGGAGCAAGGACGCTACTAGGGGCTCCTAAGTGCTGAAGTAAAACCAAGAGAAGCGTCACCACGATGCTTCCATAATTATGGTCGATCCTGTTGGTATAGTTTGTAGCTATCTGAGAGCCAACTGTGTCATGAATTGGATGACCCCTTAAACCTGTCGGAAAGGGACAGTAGACTCAACCCAACCTGTTGAGGGGTGAACGCAAAAACATACACAAAAAAAAGAATATACTAATATAATAATCGAAATGCACATTGCACAACAGGTCACCCATTTGAAGAACTCCACTGCACCATCAGTTCTCCACCATTTCACAGCTCCCACACGCTCCCACCGTGCCTCTTCCGCTGAGTCGTCCTGTTGGGAATGGAACTGGGAATGGATTTGTGGATGTTCGGATACTCGAAACACCCATGCCTGTTGGTGGAAAAGAACCACCATGGAATTCCCTTCTGCGTGTTGAAAAAACAAAGCATTGAATCACGTAGATTCTGCAACATTTGAAGCCCTCATCTTCCAAAGCATCACGCACGACCCAACGATAGACCTCCAATCCTCTCCCGCCCTTTTCGCGGTTTCCAGCGAAACCCGCAGCCCGACCGGGGCCGGTCTTCGGCCCGTCGGGTGACGTCGTCGGCTCACTGGAGCACCACGGTGTAAGAGCCGGTCTCAGGACCTGATGAGAAGACTCCCGAGCCCCGTGACACTCTTTCTTCTTCGTGTGCAGAATTTAGAAACAGCTGGTTTGTAACATCGTAACATTCAAAGTAGTCATTGGGTGTGCATAACTTTTTGAATGATCTCAAAGTAGTTGGATGGAACCGTCCCAGAAATCCAACCAATACTTTCATCTATACTCTGGCGAGCAGGTCTTCCCCGCGCCTCCACGCTCCGCCTCGACCGTGGCTTCCACGCCGCGCACCAAGAGCTTCCGGAGCTCTCGGTTCAGTGCGCGGATCTGCGATAGAGGGACGCTCTCCATCAGGATCTGAAGGGATGTTCATCCGGTAGTGAGGTACGGTACTTGGTTTTGCTGGTTGGAGAGAGTGAAGCAGGACACGGAATGGTGGGAGGAGCTAACAAAAGTGTTCAACACATCCAAACAATAAGCTATTTACAGCACCAACCTGATCTTTCGGAAACCCTTCGGGTGCCAGCCTCATCTCCTCTGAAATCCACGCTGCTGCGAAGCGATTTCAGTTCGCCTGCGAGGAGCGAAAATCCTGCGACCGATGTCCGACCGCCGTCATTTGGGTCCCCATGGGTCCCCCTTTCTCTCAAGTGGAGTCTCTCTGGTTTTGACCGCCAACAAAGGTTAAGTGACCTTATAGGACCCTACCAAGGTACCTATGGCCTACGGGATAGTCTATAGGGTTCTTCAACCTCTGTTGGTGGTTTTGGTCCATAACCGCCAAACTCGGCGCCCTTCAACGGGATCCACTGAGATCCCCGACCGAAACGACCCCGCCTTCGAGCGCCGTGCGCTGGGTGCGGAGGACCTCTCGCAGGGTGCTGACCGAGGCCTGGCAGAGCCGTCCAAGGCAAAAAGGAATCCCTTGAGGTTAAGCAAAATGATGATTTTCCTTCACAAGCACTCGAGGTTAAGGCAGTGGACAGCCAAATTCATGTCAGAAGAAAACTTGTTGCACCATGCAGGTGGGAGCTTGTTGGTGCTGAGGGCAGCTTTTGGAAAGACAACACCTTCCTTATCCTTCCTTAGAAGAAAAATCCCCACGAAATGAATGAATAACGATTCCATCCGATTCCACTGTTACAATGCGAGGCTACCGGTGTCGCCGAAGCCAACTATTCAATGTCTTGGAGCAATGAATGCTTCAGCTTGGTGGTTGGTCTTGATGCACACAAGGGAGATGTTGGCGTGGTTCTTTTGGAGAGAAGCTCTTCGTTCTGGGTGAGCAGTTCATTAAACCAAATTTGTCAAAGGGAGGTGGAGGAGGGTGGAGTCACCATAGTTAAAAGAAAGGGGAACCTTCCTGTGGAAACCCCGAAACCATCGATATACTGATATGGCCCTCTGGGTGGGAAGCTCTATGAAAAGCTATCCACTCTCGACTTGAAAACCCTTCGGCATTGGACATGGAGAGAAACATCTTTGACTAGCTTGTACGCCAACCACGCCCGGATGTTTCAGCAACTCTCAGCCGTGCTCAGCGGACGCTCATTCCTGAACACTGAAACCTATCATCGCATATCATCTTCTTTGAGGACCACTCAATTAATCCATCCATCACGCCATCAATCCCCTTACAAAAAAGAGCGCGCCTCCATGTCAATCCGCAACTCCTCCCAAAGCGCCACATCCAACTTCGTCTCCAACTTGGACTCCACGAGCCCTGTCGCTGCGAACCGTGCACGAGGTTTTGCGGTACCCGCCGCTGGGGAAACACCAGCTTTGGTGAACGAACGGATAACACTCCCTGAAATCATGGTGGAAGTGGATGGCCTAGCTCCGATTTCGGATGACCATGTTCTGGATACCAAACAGGTGCTATTCCACTTCCATTATTATTTCAGGAAGTGTTGATGATCATCTCACCCAGGATTCCAGTCTACGGAGTGAAGCTTCATGAAGCATGAAGAGCTGTTGATGATGACTTTTTGGCCAGGTTGCTGGGTCGGGGTATCACATGTATGGGATTGGTCGAATGGGAGTGCACAATAGATCAGAACCAAATCCGACATACTGTAATGCAGCCGATCCAAATGTGAACATCATGGACCAGATCTGCTTCTCGGCAACTTGTTATCTAATCTAAACATCTGGACGTTTGGGAATCCACTGAGTCACTGGCAGTGCCCAACTGACCGACCTTGCAGGAATTGGCCTGTGAGGAATCCTTTGGTGGACTTTGCTGGGGACACATCTCGTAGACACTGGATGATTCTCTTTTTTTTGGCGTAGATGAGGGGTCACCCACTCTCGCACTGCCCAAGATTGTATTTTTTGTGGAGGTGTAGTTGAGATATACATACAAGATCATACGAGCATAAATAAATCCCATCAAACAAACTACAGTATCTGATTCTGCCGAACTGCTGTTCTTAGTTCTTCCCTGCAATCCATATGGCCCACAACTAGTTATGGAATGTTAATTATAGACAAGTCACGGGTGATCTCCACCACGAAACATGAGCATTTCTCCGCCCATCGCCCTTCCATCTTGGAGAACTTCCCTTCGATGGAGGCTTCCTGAAGCGCGGTTCGCTACCGGCACGCGCTCGGCGCGTGCGACGCAGCGTTGCTTCGTGAAGCTCCCTCAGCCAGGGACTCACCCTGAAAAGGCAACGAACAGTGGGGAAATGCACTGCGCCTATTCAGTGTAGCGATCAACGACCTTGTAGCATCCTTTCTGATTTAAAAACATAACAATGACACGTAAAAGCTGAGGTGGAACCGTGGAATCACCAATTTCACGCTTTTTCTATCAAAACAATCCAGCTCTCAGGTCTGGACCGAACTCGGGCTGCCGGTCTTTCCCGGCTGAGCCAAGGGGCGAGATCCTTCGTGCGTTCCCGGAAGTCACTTTCCAAGGTCGACAACATTGATGGCATGCTTTGCATGGCCTGCCTTGGTGCCGCTCCCGGTCCCCACGTGGAGTCCCTTTCTGTGTCTCCAACCTTCAAAGAGACTGCTGGCGGATGTTCGCCAGGGAGGTGTGTCACGTTTCACTCGCATGAGCTTTGTTTCAACGTCGGATGGGGCCGGCGAATCGTTCATCTTGCAACAAACAAAATCTTCATCGGGTGGTAGAAGCTGGAGGAAATGCAGTATTTGCTGGAGTCTCGTCTCCACTAAGATTGTCAATACAAAATAGTTAGTTCCCATTTATTGTCAGATTGGCTGTTCGGTGGACATTGATTCACGTGAAGGAGATGAAGACTCCAATTGTTTCCTAGGAACATACTCTGGCAGTTTGGTAGACTGAACGAAATGAGCATGGAAGAGGTATGGAGGGTATGGCTTCTTGACCGGACCCACAACCATCAAACATAGTTTGATTGTCCCACTTGCTATGGGGTTACTTCACAGCATGCAAAATAGGATGATCCCCCAACTGGGGCTGAGTTCATCCATGTTCCCAACCGACAGCTAGGGGCCCATCAAAGTTCCTTGTCCAGCAGTATGGTGTGGAAGTCCTTCCATGTTGAAACCCTCCACCATATTACATATTCAGTGAGAACCCGGTTGACCCCTGCTTTGCATCGACTACCCGTTGGCTCTATGACATTGTTCTATCGCCACATGGGTCGCACCAGCTCTCTTGGTGTCGTCACATACCTCGTGATCCTGAAGTAGATAGGGCACTCCCCAACTTGCAACATGTGTTATACAACAACTTTGACATTGCCCGACTTTTCGGTCAAAAAGGTATCCAATATGTACTGCATCAAATCTACTGTATCGGATGATTCGTCAAAGCAAACCCTGCACGTCTGGGCCCCGGTTTTTGCGACAAGGTGCAGCTTCATGCCTTGGATCGCGGACCAGCGACAGAGAATGTTCGGTGGGAGGTGACATGGATGGATGAGTATAGGTGACACGGTGTTCTTGCAAGTCAGCTAATCCAATGCTGGCATCCCAAACTGGTCGTGAACATGCTTTTGCAGAATGTTTCCCTTCAAGCTTCATCCGCTTCATCTTGAAAGAAAGGAGCGAAACCTACAAAGAAGGTGCCAGCGGACCTGGATGTTCTCATTTCCTGTTTACTGATGTTCTGTGCAGAAAATCACAGCCCGTGTGGAGTGAAAGAAATAGGGGCAATCAGGTATGTTTCTCACGCAGAACACAAGAATAATTCACTAACACACCTTCATCCTCTTTCATCTGTGTGCCACTAGTGAACGACACTATTCTGGTGGGTCGCTTGGATCAAAACGTCAGAACACGCAGGTTAGCAGGTTGGAACCCACCGCATCTTAAGGAGTTGGCTTACTAGTAGCTTCTTGTTCCTAGTAGTAAGGATGCTCCTAGTAGTACGGCCAGGAGCCCCTAGTAGCGTCCTTGCTCCTAGTAGCGATGCCAGGAGCCCCTAGTAGCTTCTTGTTACCATCTTTCTCATTCCAAGATACCAGCCTCTTTCAGCCAGCTATCTTGCTTCAATCGCAGGTCCTTAGCACTAGCCAGGTGGTGGTGTATCTCAGGTGTGTGAGGTCCCAATGTAGGCGCTGGAAGTTCTTCGACGCAGTAGGTCAAACTTGTATCGCATGGTCTTGGTGTCCTCCGCTATTTGACAAACGACCGTGGAGCGGTGGACATGGCCTGACATTTGATTAGACGCACAAACCTACTCAACTTCAAAAAAGGCAAAAATACTGTAATCAAACATATATATATATATCGTTTACCTGCACACCTCTATAACTACAGATACCCCGTCATGCCTCGTCATATGCGTATCAATTATCATATAGATCCTCATCGAAACCAATGCCCTCACCGACTCACCACCCCTTCAGCGGCCAGGGCGCCCGATCCAGTCCCTTGAGGTCATTCTTCAGCTGCGGAAGCTCAGTGCCCAAGGAAACACCCATGGCGTTCTCCAAGCCTTGGAGGTTCAGAGGTGGGCGATGGGATCCTCCGTTTGGGCCAGTTGCGTGGTCCAAAAGGAGCGCGGGGAGTTGGGTGGATATGGTAGCGGTATGAGGTCTGGTGGTGAGGTGGAGACGTGGCCACAAAATCTAAGTCGATTCCCTTTAGCAGGTCGATTGTGGTAGACCTGTGCCGACCTATGAACTACACGCTTCAAGCCTCGGCATGCCTCGCCCAAACGTTTTTCTTCCGAGGGTCGCGTCTGCTTGTCCAACAAGCTAGAGTGGCTTGAGTCGATGTGTCCGTTCACTTCCCGCAAGCTCCGCCTCAAGGGTTGGCAAGGTGACTGAGTATCTCATGGCAAGTGCAAACACACTTTTGGGATGAGGCCTGAATGGCCTGATCTGCTCACAAAAATTGGCTGTTTGTCGGACTTCGTTGGTGGACTCCACTTGATTCCTCTCAGGTTGAACTAAGGGCGAACCCATCTCAAGCGAAACAAAACGAAAATGGAGTAATACACTTCACTGGGCTAGCACCCATATGGCCTGCAAAGGGACAAATACAGCATCGGAAAAGGGTGATTTGGGCACATGTACCTCTCTTTAACTTGCAAACCACCTGATCTGTCTGTGTTTACAGGTCTAAAAAGTAATAAAAAAGGCCTGTAGGGGGCCAATCCAACACAAAAATATACGAACATAACAAGACTCAACGATGCTTCCCAGCCACTCCATCGCTTGTGTTTTGTTCCGCATCAACTCCACAGAACCTCGGCATGACGAACAAACTCCGCACTGAAGAACAAATGTGTGCGAACCACTTTGTGCTTTGTTTGGTGGCAGCGGGAAGCGGCGGTAGCAGTATAGTATTGTAAAATATGCGCAACACGAATGTTTGATCATCTAACCCAACAGACCTCAGTAGTCTTTACCCAACCTCAACTGCTTTTGGTATGCATGTCTCTGACAAACCAGGTTGTGGATGGTTGTGGGACATATCCAAATCATTGATCAAAGTTGAAATCAACATGCTGAACCCGTTTCCTTTCTCCGTAAGTTGCGGTCTTACTAAATGACCCTGGAAAAGAAAATATTATCACTTCAACATCATGGAGTATTGCATCCTGTGTGGCTTTGTTCGTTGTGCAGCTTTCCCTCTGCTTGGCTACCCTGTACAAACACCAAACAAACTGAAAAGAAAACAGCAGCATTGTGCCGCAGGTCAGCATCATACAATTTCACACCCTCTCAGGGAGAGACGCATCGACCCGACTATATAGTTCTTTGTCCCACCAATCTTCCCACACATGTCTACTACTTAGTAGCTTCTTGTTCCTATAGTAGTAATGGCCTCCAACGGACTTGCAATGGCCTCCACCTAATAGCGTCCGAACGCTACCAGTAGCTTCTTGTTAGTAAGGCCAGGAGCGCCCCTAGTAGCGTCCAAAGGGCCCTGCATCGAGTTCACCACTTCTTTCATAGCATGCACTTCTTCACTCCTTGGCGCTCTATTGGGCGCAATCCGCCACATGGCGATGCCGCCGTCGACCCGCCCGGGTGGTGAGTGTTTCTTTTCGGTGACCAGAGATGATCAGGGTAGCCGCCACAACCCGGGAAATGCGGGGACAAGCAAGAAATGCGGCGGAAAAAGTCGTGAGAAGAAATTCATCCTCGTGTTTACCTACCATTTCAGTGGTTTCCCCTCAGGACAGTGAAGCAGAACAGCCCAGGCTGGCCTCGTGCCCTTGCGTCTCCCTGCGTTTTGCTCCCTCTCAACGGGGTGGGAGGTTCTGACCTTCATCTTGGGTGGACTCCTCTGAAGCACATTTTTGGGAAATGCCATGGCAACATATTTGGCAACCACGGGCACAACCCTCTAAGATTATGAAGGATAACAAACCCTCATGAGCTTGTGACTGGTATCTATCCAAAATTCCACGAACATGTACTCTAACCCTGATGGCTGGTGACACTGGCAGGGTGGCGGGACCACGCTTGATCCAAAATGAGCAATCTATATTTCATAAAGCATCATAAAGCCTTACCCAGGGCCCAACAGCTTTGGCTTTTTGGGAACGTGGCCAAACATCTGCTGGTACCCTGCGGATTCCCACGGAACCCTGCCGATCCGCCGAGCCGCATCGGCAGCGCTCGGCGCAACCTGGGGTAGTGCGGATTCACGGATCCATCGTGGTTTTCCGTGGTACGTGTGGTCCATGATGTCACTGAGCTTGGGGGTTGCTGTTGGTTCAATCTGCGAGTTCAGTAATTACCTCCCAGTGACATGTCTTGAGGTTCGATCTGCGATGAGTAACAAGAGCCGGCTGAAATCACTAGCCACATCTCGCAAGCTCAAACCTTGAGTCCCCACCCAACAGCCAATCGCCAAAGAAACGTTGAGACTTCGCCTTGCAAAGCCTTCAGGAACTTCATGACATTGTTACACGTCATACCTGGGGGCTTTCATCGAGCCCCTTCGCCCATCCATTCATCGGCACTGTAGATGTCCAGCACGACGAGTTGTTTCACGTTTTCTTCCCCCTGAAACCTACTACTGTAGACAGAGAGAAGTCAAAACACCATTTGTTCGATGCATTTGCCTCAACCAAGTGTTCTTTTCGCTAGCTATTTAAAGGGTACCCAGGGCAACCACTCTGGGGAATCGGGAGTGAACCGTTCTTTTGATGTACTGCTACATACTTTGACGCCTCCTTCTCTAAACTAGCATCGACTTTCAACAAGTAAAGCACTCACCAGCAGAATCCAAATGTTCGGCTTAAAAGCTCACAACAAGTCTTTGGAGATTCACAGCACAAGCTCTGAATCTTCAAACTCAAATTAGCTGCCGGTATATCAATGTTCTGCTCTTCTGTGAAGCTTTGAACTCAGTCATGCGAAGAAGCCCCTGTTGCGATGGTTTCACTTGGGTTCGCCCCAATCAATCCAAAAAAATGAAAGAACCGCACACAGACACACAGCCTGCTGCCCTCCTTCACCGGACTCAGACTCCGCTTGGTGCCGAGGGTCATTCCCAGCTGCTGCCCTGGCGACAAAACAGTTGGGCCCTCAGCTCACTGCGCTTGTTGGGCCCATCGTAGACGTCTTCGTAGACGTGTTTATGCTAGTAACAATGTTCGCTACTAGGGGCTCCTGGCATCGCTACCAGGAGCAACGACGCTACTAGGGGCTCCTGGCCTTACTACTAGGAGCAAGAAGCTACTAGGAGCAAAGGGCATACAATTGCCAGCCATCTTTCTTCATGCAAGCTGTTCCTGATGGTCTTGGGAAGTCCCTTGTCACGATACTTCGAAATGCCGCAAAGGGTTGTGATCCGAACTGTGATCCAGTCTACATTGAATTGGGTTCCCACGACCCATCTCCGCCTGCGTCACGGGTTCCGATAGGAGCTCTTCCAAACGCGCCACCCGCCGCTCCAGCTGCTCCATTCGCCCGGCACGTGGCTCGTGTAGAGAAGAATGAACGGAGGTGCCCAGGAGTTTACTGCGACACGAGAGTGGAACTCCTTGGAGTCTAGGGCAACTGGGGGCGATCTGTCTTTTTGTGGGTGATCTTTTCTGAATGATGCACTATCCCTGCTCACTCTGGCCAGTTGGTTTGTCAGTCCTTTGGTCGAACGAACTCTGCGGTTGTCTGTAGCCACATGTAGAAAGCTGATTGGCACAAGAAGCATCTTCCAATGATTGCCGCTCTTTGGTGGTCTTTCAGCTGTGTGCAAATTGGTGAGCAGCAAAGGAGTCCAAGACTTGTACATTGCGAAAACCGATCAACGCAAGATGGGAGAGGGGGCCACGATGGTTCCTCTTGGCTTCTGGAGACTTCGCGCCATCCCAAACAGCGAATCAGCCTTTTTTCTTCAGCCCTGGAAGCCCACATAAAGCAAGGTCAGGGCGAAAATCACCGCGCCGGCCGCGCGATAGTCCCAGCCTTAGGCAGATGTGAAATCATGGAGGTAAAACTGCAGATCTGTTCGATCCTTCCTTTGGCAGCAATCGTTATGTGTTTTCACGAGTCGTCCTCCCTTTGCATGTCGAAAAGGAATGCCCAAACTAAAAGCCAGTGTATCCTGGATGTCATGAACCTTGTTTCACCTCTTATGGGTGAATCATGAAGCAAATCATGACACATTTTGTTCAAGGTGTGGCGACCTGAGCCTGAAATGCTGAACAAACAACTGACCACGGTCCCACCGCACCACCCGCCAGGGTGACTCTCACCATGTGTCGCTGACCGAGCCGCTGAAATCGACACCCTCCGTCTTCCGCTCTTTGGGCACCTGAGTCGGCCGGGAGTCATCCGAATTATCCCTGTTTGTTTTGGACCCGAGAATCATTGTCGCTGCACAAGAAGCATCAAAGACCTGCATGCGTGTCTTTGTGGCCGGAGGACAACAGGGGGACAGCAAACGGACAACTGGAGCACAAGAAGAGGACAATACCCGGACACAGGGTTCAGGGGCGCGGCCAGACACTGACTAGCGTTTTTCTCCCAAGAAAGAACCCCAACAGTAAACTGTTTGGGGAAAACACTAGAATTATATCAAAGTGTTCCTTTTAAACGTAACAAAAGGAACATGTTCAATCAAAGTTGTCCAACAAAGATTCGACATCAAAATGCCAAAACAAAAAATTAAAACATTAAAAACTATATATTTATATGAAAGATTCCCTTTTAATGTAAAGTTTTGAAGATGGAATAAAAACCTTAAAAACTACTACCAAAGGAGATGGACGGACGCGAAACTTATACACAACAGGTGCAACTAATGAAGTTGTCAAAGAGAAGTATTGGTGCAACGATGTTTAAGCAATATGATAATTATATAAAAGTTAGAAAATTACATTGTATATTTGATGAATAAATATATATATATATTTGTTTTAAAGGTATATATTTGGCATAGTTTTAAACTATATAAAAAGAGACTGAGTTGTTGGCAAGAAAATACAAATATTGCAATATTATATAAATGGTCGAATGTGTGTATATTATATATTTGATTCAACAGTTAGTTGCCAAACTACAAGGCTATAAGGGGATCTTACTTCTCAATGGTGTGGCTCTGGATCGGCGCTTTTGGCGCCGATGCTGCTGCCGTGCTGCTGCCTTGCTGCTGCTGCGCTGCCGCAGCCGCCTTGTCTCCCAATTTTGTCTCCCTTCACGTTTGCCATGCTTGCAATAGAAAATAGCAACATTGATGCAAAGTTAGTCTTTCAAGGAAACCTTGACCATCTAGTGGCAAATCCATTCCAATACCGAGTGCGGCGCTACCGAGACCGAAGCAATACAAAATTTGCCCTCATCACCCCTTAAAGGTCAAACAGTATCGAAGCAAGTATGCAACATGAAACTGAACATATATAGAATTAGCACTTTGTTTGCTGTATATCATAGCTTTTGTTTCCCTTCGTAGTGTTCGCCGATCAGATGGTAGCCGTGACCTGGCCCCAACGCCGTGGCCAGAGAACGACCAAAATCATGCAAGGTGAAAACAAAGAAAAAAGAAACAAGAGGTAGGAGGAGAGGTTTGAGTAACTATGCCATGGAGACTGACGCCCGCTTCTCAGGGGTTAAATTCTGGACGAGGAGGCTCGTATCGCACTTTGTTGCCTTTGCAATATAATCAGGGAAACAATCCACCGCGCGAAATCCGAGCACGTTGCTGCCTGGATTCGTCGCCCTAGCGAGGGGAAGGATTACATTTGCGAACGTTCAGGCCCGGGCAGATGACCTCTGAGTCTCGCGGGTTTGGTGCCTACAAGATGGTCCCTTTTCGGAGTGGTTTTTGGCAGAAGTTGCCTCATCTCTCTGCGATTCTTGCTAGCTTTCTCGAAAGATTCATTTACAACACCTCCGAGCCAGATTCAAAGAAAGAGGATGCCCTGTGGCAAATTGCATGACTGCGGAAAAGGACCGCCATGTGGTCGGTAGAAAGAATAATTCATGCCTTCTGGATGTGCTCAAAAAGCGTGCAAGTCAATGCGGCTCTTTAGAAATATACACGTGTCACTTGTCGGCTCTTTTGATGCTTAACATGTGGGGTTTAGCCTGTTCCTCGGTCTCTTCAATGTCGCACTTGTTCTCTGATTCCTTCTCTTCGCAGCAGGCAGCCTGGCAAGAGACCTTGATTTGTGTTATTTTTGTGCGTCCGTCGCCGTGACCTTTTTCCTTGTCCTTTTTGTCTTTGTCCCTTTGCCTCTTTTTCCTCAAGGCTATGAAAGCACAGCCTGTGGATTGTAGTCTGCGCTCACTGTCCTCTGTTTCTCTTCTGCACGGGGTTTGGCGCGGTGCTTTATCTGCCAGAAGGGCCGCTGCAAATGCGTGTGAAAAAGAGCCGTCCTTTGGGTTCAATCCCTGGAGGTAGTTCTCAGGTTGAGAGCCTCACGAACAGCACCAATGTTCAACCTCACGCTTCAATTTGATTTGCTGTTATTTTTGGTGTTACGAGTATTTTTGCTTCGGGTAACTTTGTAGTTCATCCATTAACAATTACTATGTTTCAAACGGCCACAAAAGGACGCACCTACGACGAATCGTTGTGCCACCAAGAAAACAGCTTTGGAAAAAAAATACGTTCAAGCGCAACTTGACGTTTCAAGCGCCTGCGTGCAAGGTGCACCAGCTTTATGGACATGCAAGTGCCACGTTCATACACGCACCAGGACTGAGAGCGAGGCACAAGCAAACCACAAGCGAGACGCCAACAAAACATGAGCAAAACCACAAAAAGATACACCACCAAAACATAACAGAAACACCACAAAAAACAACCAACACACCACGAAAACATGATCGAAACACCACTCAAAAATGAGCGAGGCACCACCCAAACGTGACCGAGACACCACCGAAACATGACAGAGACCTTCCCAAAACTTGTTGAAAAAAAACACTATAATCTGTTCTTTTTGCTTTTACAAGGAACAAAAGTGGGATTGTCAACCTTCGCATTCTTTTTAATGTTTCTGTTCTTCTTCGTCTCCTTCTCCTGCTCCTTCTCTTTCTCCTTTCTTCGTCTTCTTCCTTGTTCTTCGCTTTCACTGGGTTCTGGAGCCGAAGACGATTGTACCAAATAACAGGAGGAAGAAGAAAAGGCAAGAAGAAGAAAGCAGGAAAACAAAAGCAAGAAGACCAGAGAAAGAGCAGGAAGAAGAAGATGGCAGAAGAAAAAGAAGAAAATGCATGAAGAAGAAAAAGCAAGAAGTGTCTTGATCAATGGGGGCTTCTCTCGAGGGCACTGTTTCTAAGTCTGTGAAACCTGACTTTGACCCTTGCTCTGCGAGACTGTCTTCTTATTTCTAACTTCTAACTTGAATCCCAAGAAAATCACGATAAGTTTTGATGCATTTTGGGTGTGTGTTTTGATGGGGAGACCCTAGCCAACAGGTGCGGTAGACTGGTCAACTTTCCTTCTTCCAGGGGGTCGAATTGCACTATTTTTATGGCATCCAACGCAGGCCACATTGCGCTGACCAAGCGACACCTCCAGTGGCCTCCATCAGCCACTCTGGCAGCTCGCCGCTGCCTGGTCTGGTCGTTCATCAAAGGGTAGCTCTGTTGATTGAAAAAGGTCCTGGAGTGCACACCATGCTCCCTTTAGTTATCAACCCAAATCACAAGAAACCTGCAGGCCCCTGGCTTGACTCTTACGCACCACACCTACCACATTGACCACATTGACACATCGAGCATTGAGAAGCACCTATCCGCGGCCAACCAGAATTTTAGGGCTACTGTTCTGATGAAAACAAAACCACAGTGTCCACTTTGAAGACCCTAGGTTATGAAACTGCTGAGGCAAATGCAGCCAGCTCCTAATTTGGCATGTTCAGGTGATTTAGGTAAACTGCAACTCACTCCTTGCCTGCCACTGCATCCAAACGACTCTCCTCCTGCGGGTGTCGCATGAGAAAGCAGTCCCTCTTAGTGGAACTGTCCTCAACTGCTGGAATTGAAACTTGACAGAAAACAGTTGGGTTTCATCATTCTAACAAGTCAGGGGTGGGCTTGCATGAGATGAGGAAACATGTCACTGGTGACAGGTCGAAAAGCTTCCGTGATGCTAATGGTGTTGATCACGGTTGTTGGAACCACAAACATTTGCACAAATACACCTTGCACCGAAAATTGTCATTCTAACATCATCAACTGTCTCCGATCTGAAAGTTGACCACCCCATCTGACACCGACCATTGTGCCATCGAGACACTACAACTAAGTAACTAAGTTCACCTCCAAACACTGGTTGTTGCGTGACGGGTTCAGTTGCCAGGCGTTCAGCACAGTGCGCCATCAATATGCAAACATGTTGGTGGTCCCCCCCATTTAAAGTTTAGTGCAGTGGCTACGGCACATCGGCTACCCATGGCATGTTCCGATCTTCCTGAGCACAGATTAAGTCTTATGTTTGCCCTGCAGGTTTTAGTCTTTTCCGCCAAGGAACTCGCTCCTGCTCCATGTCCTTTTGCGCCAAGCGCCCCACCGACCGCAGGTGCGACCTGGTCGCGCACTGCCGGGCTCAAGCATGTTGCATAGCCCCATCCAAGGTGATCCATGAATACGGAACACATGAGTTGATGCAACACCTGTGATACATTCCTCTTGGTCGCACAAAGACAATCTTCGACATTTTCATCCTGAACCACTTAAAAGACACATTCCCATCCTCTACTCTCCTCATGAAAGAAAGCCTGGGTTTCCAACGGCCCAGAAATTCCAATGCTCCAAGAAGAGTTCAAGAGTTTACTTTGTGTCAACAATGCCTCGAAATCCCTGCGGGTTTCGTTTGGAACCAGTTCTTGGCACCTGGACCTCCTGGGCAAAGCAACGAAGAGCCACGGAAGAACCTCACCCGACGGCCATCGCGACCGTCAGCGCCCGCACCGACTGCCTTCGGTGGGGATTCGTCGAAGACCGCGCTTCCGGCGTATCCCCACGGAAGTAACACACAATCCAATGAGATCCCCAAGCCAAAAGGGTCAGATCAAACATGATCAAACAATCTCACTCAAACACGTCCAAACGCTTGACACCTGAGTGTTGAACCTGATAAACCACAAGTTCTTCCGGATTCCGGGCATTCATCTAGGAACAAGAAGCTACTAGGGGCCCCTGGCCTTACTACTAGGAGCAAGGACGCTACGAACGGGGCTCCTGGCATCGCTACGAACGGAGCAAGGACGCACTATGTGATCTACAGTCACATACATGTCCAACATCCGGGGCCCCACATGGCTCGGGCCGAGCCAAATGCCCCTGGGCCCCCAGGCCGAGAGCAGCAACGCGGTGAGAAAAGCCTGGCTTCGAGGTGAAACATGGCGACGAAAAGTACCGAAAAGGATCAGTTCGAACACTGAAAGAACTGAACTTTGTTTTTGGGTCTCTTTCACTAATTCATGACCCTGTGGTTTTACGCTGGTTCGCCACAGTTGACATCCTAGTCGATCCAAATCTAAACATCAAAACATCCACGGGTAAGCTTCAGTTCCTGCAGCCTCAGCATGGATTTTTGGAGTCATACAGTCACCATAAGACCCCTTCCACCTGGATGAAAAACCAGCCGTCGGGAGTGTTTTCGACGCAAGCGTCACTTCGCGTGAAGGTTTATGGTCCACCGTGCTGTGCCTGACGCAGAAGTCTCATCGCAACTACGTGTGAGCCGTGAGCCAATTCAAGTCAGGATGAAGGACAAGTGAAGGACAGTAGTGGCCTGTTGCTGTGCCGTTTGATGTGCTGATGCTGTTGTTGTTTGGATGTTGATAAGATGCACTGAAAAGACTATGGCCTCCATTCCAATCTCGCGTCCAAAAGCAAATTGAACATAGAAAACTTATTATTGAAGTACAAAAAGGTACAATGCAAATTCCTAGTCGAGCCACTTACTCCTGAAAATGGACTGTCTAGGTTTCTTTCCAGTTGCACTTTCGCTCAGAAATTGTGAGCCAAGAGATGTGTCCAGGACCAGTCCAAAAGTCTGAGCTGGGAAGTGTGTTGTCTGAACTGGTGGGGTCTAATTCCGTTGATTCTCATCAACATGTCCGGCATCTCCTCTGTCTCCTTGTTTTATATGTGACTAAGTGTAATCGTAATATGCGGATATTTCTGATACAGTGCAGTCTCTTTTCCACAAGTTCGCACGGTCGCCGGCCCCAAGCCGTGTCGCTGGCTGAGCCTCGGGAACAATGCCACGGTCTCAAAAAGAACAGGGAATCACTGCAAATTTAAATTCCTGATGACTCATGCGGCTGTGGGTCAAAACTCGGAGCCCCAAACCCCGGTCGGTTGACCTCCTTATGAGTCGGATTCTATAAACCATGTTCATTTTCGCTGGTCAACCAGGGTTCCCGGCTTTTGACCCACAGCCATGTCATCCTTCGAGACTTTTTTTGGAGGTCCCATGTCTTCCAGAGACGGTGGTCCCCCGCAACTCCCGCGAGGCGACACGGCCACCCTCATGCTGCTGAACTCCTGCCACTTTTCTCGCGACTTTGGCGTATTTAGGTGAAACCTTAACTGAAATCGACCATGCCACAGCTCTAGCATGGTTGGATGCGGGAAACGATGTGATTTCACCTCCATTAATCAGATCGATTTGACATTCTTTTTGATGGAGACAATGACTGAAGGAATTTCAACGTAAAAACATCCCGTTTCATCGCCCGGAGGATGCTCCGTCCTCGGGGGCCTTAAAAACTGTAGGCCTCCGTGGTCTCACTCACCTCTCCCGCCTCGCGGTCACCGTCACCGTCACCCGAAGCACGCATCACCTGCGGTGGGGAGTGTGCCCACCAGCACCATTCTGCAGTAGCTACACCAGTGGAATGAAACCATTGTGAAAATCCACCAAAAGTCTTGCCTTCAGAGGTCGCGAAGGAAGTCTTGACATGTTCTTGACCCGTCGTGACTTCATTCCTCACGTTGGTACGGCTTAGTCACCTCGTGGTTCATGCCGCTGAAGTAGCCGAGAGAAACACGCGCTGAGACTAGCAGTAACCACACACTTGCCCTGCAAGGAGTCCTTTTGTAAACTTCCAGTTGCCCTTTCGAACATCGCACGGACTCCCTCTCTCTCTCTCATTTAACAACATAGGTGCCCAAATGCTTTCATGGCCCCTGGCACCCCCATTTTCCCCTTCACATCGAGTCACAGCCTTCACCTTCTCTGCGCGTCTTTCCGCCTCTCCTGCTGCCTTGTCCACCAGCGACCACTCAGCTTGCTGTGCGAGGCGGGGGCGGTCCTCAGTGAAGACTAGAAGATGGCTAGCGCTCCACGATGCTCTAATTAGATACTAGTTGCGCAATCCAAAAAAAAGTAATTAACAAATCAAAACGATGAAACCGGCAGAGCTACCTTGGAGCTACATACTTACAGTAGACATTGTCGTGATCACATACATGGGGTTTTGAAGGTGACCGAACTGAAGCAGGAAATCATCTGCAGTTTTTTCTCGTGGTGGCATGACCACAAAAAAAGGCAAACCCTGTCACATGGTTGTTTTCTCTGAAGGCCTGAAGGCACTTCACTTCATCCGGGGCTCCATGTAATGAATCCAAAAGACCTCAGCTTTGGACGCCTCTCGCACCGAAGCCCCTCGCAGCCTTGTGCGCGCCGCGCCCGGCGTCACGGTCACCGGCGCAGCGGAGGAAGCGCTGCAACGTTCCAGTGGAGCGAAACCTGGGCGCTCGTCCAAACGGAGGACCAGCTTGAAGCCCTGAAGGGAAGAAGATGGAAATTGATTAAAACAGGTTGGGACAATACTCAGATATAATCAGCGTTAAGGAGTTTGTAAGTCTTGAGTGTTTGATGTTTATACCGCCCCCATCCGCCCCCTCGTAGTGTTCCTAATTTCAACCTATTTCACAGACTTGGGCCCTGCAAGGTGCAACCAGCTACGATGTTTTATAATGGATGTGCCTGCTATACTCCAAACAAACTCACAAGTTTCGAAATCAATTTGTTCTCTCGTCTAGGCACGCTCTTTCAGCTTCAGCAACGAGGCTTCCAATTCCGCCACCAGCTGCTCCACAGAGCCACTGAGCTCTTGCCGCTCCCCCAGCTTTCCAAGGTCGACGAGGTCTTTGGGACGTCGCGGGCAGTCGGAGGGCTCCTGGCAGCTGGTGCTGCGGGGAGGGGATGGCATTGAACAACTTTGAAAAGTTTCAACGTTCATATATCAGTTGAGGTTGAGAAACAAAAATGGCTCAACAAAAACTATCCAAACATAAGTTTCCTGTATCATGATCCCCGAGATGGTCGACTTATAAGAGATTTGAAATATAAAAGCTGGATGCTGACTAACTGCCTAAGCACACCAGTGGTGTCTTGGACATGCGACCAGAACGTGCAATCATTTTTACTAGGTTACTAGGCAATGTAGAAGGTAGATAACATCTGTATATACAGGTCACAGGCCTTTTCGCTTTCCCATGCATGCAATTCACGTCTGCCTCAGCTCGTCCATCTTGTAATTATCGCTGACGATGCGTGACGCAGCGTGACGATGCGCGCCGACGCGTGAGAGTGAGTTTTAGTGTGGGTGAGAGTGAGTGTGAGTGAGAGTGAGTGTGAGTGAGAGTGAAGGTGAGTGAGTGCGGGCGGGAGTGGGAGTGAGTGAGAGTGGGAGTGAGTGTGAATGAGAGTGAGAGTGAGAGTGAGAGTGGGTGAGAGTGAGGGCGAGTGCGAGTTTGAGTGTGTTTGTGAGTGAGTGAGAATGAGAGTGAGTGTGGAGTGTGAGTGTGAGTGTGAGTGAGAGTGAGTGTGAATGTGAGTGAAGAGTGAGTGTGAGTGTGAGCGTGTGTGTGTGAGAGAGAGAGAGAGTGAGAGTTGTTCTTTCTTCTCTTGCTTTGAAAGCCGTAAAGATTGATGTAATACGTTCTGCATGCGTCTCCATGCGTCTTCGTACCTCTTCATGCGTCTTCATGTGTCTTCGTACCTCTTCATGCGTCTTCATGCGTCTTCGTCGATACTTGGGACCCCTCTATCGCCAACAATGGGATTGTCAAGCGTCCACGCAAGCGGCTACAGCTGTAGAACACACGTGAAAATGTGGCAACCAGTCTTGCAAGTTCACTGGGCCTAAAGTAGGATCTCAGCAAGGCCAACTTCGTCTTCAGATTCTTCTCAATACTGAGTCCAAGCAATTGAGGAAGACTTGCGACTTGGTTTGTCAACTCCTTTCTGCTCAAGCCCACCCCCAGTAGCCCATTCAAATTGGGTTTCAAGTTTTGTTCGATGCTGTAGCCAAGAACTTGCCGGAAACCTGCCACTGCTTTTCCAACCTGCATCTTGTTAAGGCCCACGCCCAGCAGCCACTCCTCTGTGGGCTTCACGTTGTGTTCGATGCTGCAGATTTGCGGGAAACCTGCCACTGCTTTTGCTACCTGCCTCTTGTTAAGGCCCAAGTCCAGCAGCCATTCCACGATGGGCTTCAAGTTTTTTCGACGCTGCGCCCAAGAATTTGCGGGATGCCTGCCATGCTTTTGCAACCTGCCTTGTAAGGCCCCAGTCCAGCAGCCACTCCACTGTGGGCTTCAAGTTTGTTTTGTTCGATGCCACTGCTTTTGCAACCTGCCTCTTGTTATAAGGCCCAAGTCCAGCAGCCGCTCCACCGTGGGCTTCAAGTTTTGTTTGGCGCTGAAGCCAAGAATTGGCGGAGAAACTGCCATTGCTTTTGCAACCTGTCTCTTGTCAAGGCCCAAGTCCAGCAGCCACTCCGCTGTGGGCTTCAAGTTTGGGTCGATGCTGCAGCCAAGAATTGGCGGAGAAACTGCTATTGCTTTTGCAACCTGTCTCTCGTCAAGGCCCAAGTCCAGCAGCCACTCTACTGTGGGCTTCAAGTTTAGGTCGATGCTGCAGCCAAGAATTGGCGGAAAAACTGCTATTGCTTTCGCAGCCTGTCTCTTGTCAAGGCCCAAGTCCAGCAGCCACTCCACTGTGGGCTTCAAGTTTTGGTCGATGCTGCAGCCAAGAATTGGCGGAGAAACTGCTCTCGCTTTTGCAATGTGTCTCTTGCCGAGGCCCAAGTTGAGCAGCCACTCCACTGGGCTTCAAGGATTTGTCGATGCTGCAGCCAAGAATTGGCGGAGAAATTGCTATTGCTTTTGCAACCTGTTTGTTGTCAAGGCCTAAGTCCAGCAGCCACTCCACTGCGGGCTTCAAGTTTTGGTCGGTGCTGCAGCCAAGAATTGGCGGAGAAACTGCCATTGCTTTTGCAACCTGTCTCTTGTCAAGGCCCAAGTTGAGCAGCCACACTGTGGGCGCTGCAGCCAAGAATTGGCGGAGAAACTGCTGTGCTTTTGCAACATGTCTCTTGTCAAGGCCCAAGTGCAGCAGCCATGTCACTTTTGGTGCCAGGTTTAGTTGGATGTTCGTGCACAGTTTGCTGCTTGCCGTGATCAATCTGATATCTTCTGGATGAAAGCCTAGTGCCTAATCTGCTTCAAAACACTCGGCCTTATGGCCTGTCCAAGCCCAGCCAGCATATGCACATCCACACTCTGCAAAGTTCTCAACTGCTGTTCCTGCTCTTCGCCTTGTCGCCATGTACCCACGGTGATCCACAGTGTAGTATGCATTGCATGACTGATTCGCACAACAAATCGAAGGATCCTTCAGGAGCATATGCCAGTTCTTCTTCTGATCGTTCTCAAGCTCTTCTTTTTCCACATCCCTCCAGAATCCATCGCATTCCACAAACAGTGCTGCATCCTTGTCTGCCAAAGCTCCATGCACTGCCAAATCAGGCTCTAAGGAGTGCCCTTTAATACCTTAAACCCTTCCGGTGGTGGGAAGCTCCGAAAATGCTGCCCAATGGCAGTCTTCGGCATCAACAGCACTGCCAGCTGCGACAACAGTTCTGCTTCTGCCGCACTCCCCGCTCTTCCCCTTGGCCATCCTTTCCACTGCAGCACATAGGCCACAGGCAAGGAAGGAAGAAGCGGCCACCACACACGGTTCATGCGCATTGAATTAGCTCACACTGGTGCCACCGAGTGGCCACCTACTTTGAACCAGGGATCGGCTGAGCGATCATGAGTGAATTGCGGATACCCCCAGTTACTTTCGTTTGGGAACACGGTGTGGACTAACCATCCAATGCAATTCTTTGTGGGTTGAAAGTGAAACGTATGCGACAGTTCAGCGGCAAAATTAGCTTGTTTAGGAGCAAAAAATCAACACTCATTGTCGGGCTCAGGTTGGACCAGGTTGGATCATTGCTTTCGGCCCTGGACCTACACCCTGATGCAACACTGGCAAACCTGTGTTCAACGCTGTGGGTAACCTAATGTGGTATGAGGGATGGTTGAATTCTGCACCCACACCTCCTGTTGAAAGAAGACATCTAAACAAGACCAAAAAGAAGCCTACAAGAAACCTTGTTTGAGGCTTCGACTTTAGCTTAATTGTGCCAAAAAGCTCTCAGTCACATCAAAAAAATGCTTTTCATCGGATTCGGTCTCCTTAGCACCGGTCGACAGAGCCGACCCGGTCAAGCCCTCTGCAACCAACAGCAGATCCGGCGAGGCTTTGTCGCCGGTCTGGATGGTGTCTGTCCACGCTGGACTGGAGGCTCTGTCCTCAGATCTGCAAGGACCAAGTGTCCTGAGGAGCCTGGACAATTGTTGTTTATAATGTTTGTTCGACAAACATGTTCGCTCAAGTCATTATTCTAGCCGGGCAACTCCGACTTCGTACAACGCTTCTGAGAGTACAGAAAACAAAACCAATGCCACCAGATTTCCACCAGGGTAAAGATGGTAAAGTTGTACCAAAGCTCTTCCAGTTCAATTCCTTATATATCTTAACAAACTCTATTCTCAAAGCTGCCTCTGAAGCTGGACCTCGGCAAGCGTCGGATTTCAGTCCCTTCACCTCACGAAAGACTTCCTCAATGCGGAGTGTCAAATCTCGAAAGCGATCTTCGCACAGGTCCTCGGGAGCGGGGGATGCCCTTGGCGATGCTCGGGATCGGAATCCGGGATCGGAGCCGAGGATAGAAAACCAGAACAGCCCCCCTTGTCAATCTGGGTTACTAAGGGTCACCATCCCCAACTCTTGGGGTACTGCAGAACACTCCTTGATGTCCTGTAGATGGGTCCTGGCAGTTGAGAGTAAGTACATAATATGTAAGTACTAAGTCTCCACTACCATGGCGCAAACCTTCCAGCCCATTCAAAGCTCCCCCATCCGGTGACCCTTAGTGACCATTACGCTGAACCAGGAGATCCCCGAGGGGGGCATGTTTTAAACAGGTCAGCCTGCAAGATGAGCATCCATCAGAACATCTCTGAATCGGACCGCACAGAATGGCCCACCCCGGCAAAGAAATCTCAGGTTTAGGCGGTTTAGGTGGCGATTTCTTTCCAGCCCCAGAAGCATACAGATCTTCTTGACTTCTCATGGACTGCATGAAGTTGTACTTGATGAACCGTGGTGTCCTCTTGGAATCGTGTGCAAAGCAGCTGAGGCAACTCACAAAATCTGAGGCCTCAATGGCACCACGACCTCAGATCGTAAGGGAGATCCCAAGTCCCCTCCAGGCCTGTGGGACCATGACATCAGCTTCCACAAACTGTGGGCTTTGAGGGAGACCAGTGAGATCCCTACGCATCCTAGGTCTGCTTTTGGGGGACATCAGGGGACCTATCTTATGTGTGGAGTGTCCCAACAGGGCTGAATGGAATGTAGGCTTGACTATCCTGACATGAATAGTAGATATATGTAGATATTTGATATTTCTGTCCCAAAACATCCCAAAACTGTTTGTAATGTCCTGAGCCTGTAGAAACTGGGTGGTTCAGGGTCTCTCTCATTCAATCTGGGGACGCTCCAAATTCATGGTCCAGACCTCAAAGTCCAGGCGATTGGGGATATGAAAACTACATGGAGAATCCACTGGAGATATGAGAAGTGTGACATCAAGTTTGTGCAAAGGCGCCATCCCAATCAATCATTTCGAACAACATCTGCAAGTCGCTGTCATCAAGGTCCCTCTCCTTGGAGTGTTGGACCAATGGTGCTGTCTTGATTCGTTAACATGAGTTGTGCCCAGTCCAGCATGGTACAACTCATTTGGCAAGTCAAATGCAGTTACCTGTCGAGTCCGATGACACCACACTCCGATGACAGGACTGGGAATTTTCGTGGAGGGTCGGAGTGGAAGGTAGCTTGTCGATCTGGTCAGACGGACCAGACGGATGCAGTTCCCAATATTCGCTGTGCGTTGGGTTTTCCTGCCAGCAAACGCCACAACCAACAGGTGCAAACATGCACTCTCGCCTGCGCGACGGCCGTTGTGTCCGGTCTCCTGTCAACCTTGTGGCCTCTCTTGTTGGATGAGTGACTTCCTGTGGATTTGTTGTTGTGTCCAATCGAGATCTGGGTGTCCACACAAATGACCGTCAACGGATGGTGTCCCGCTTGCTTCAACTTACAATGCACGGATGGGAAACCGATGGACACGGATGGTCCATGAAAATCATGAAGTCCCTACTACTAGCAGCGACTGTTGCACCTATCCCTTCCAATAACCAATCACAATAATAAGCTGAAAACATATATGTAATGAATTCATGCCACCCCTCACCACCATCACCCAAACCACCGTGATTCCTGAGCCCACCAAGTGGCACTCAGCCACCGTTGAACGGTGGGGTTCTGTTGAGCGAAGGACAACAGCTGCGGGAGGGCCACCTGTCGAGATCAATCCGATAAGGATGCCTGGGAACCAGCTGGGAGCCCAGCACCTTGCAGCAGTTTTTTGTGGCAATGAACATCTCATTGAGCTTAATAACATCATACAACATCACCAATAAAGTATTTAGATCTTGGCACTGTTGGACTATGGAAGTTCAATTCTTCTATACTTGCGCTATCGAGCATATGAAAGGTGTAGCCCTCCAGTGGCTGCATGATCTTCTCCGCCCTTTGTTGGTCACTGGAGCTGTGAGCTTGCCGTTTCATCTGGGGTCCCCCTGTTTCCCACACAGCACCCTCCAGACACAGCCGTAGCCCGGGCCCTTGCTGCCGTGGGTCGATGAGGGGAATACATTGGAGTACAGCTACGCTTTATCGGGTTCCTTGTATCCCAAAACAGAATTCGTTCCAAAAGAGTAAATCACATGGGGGGCTCTTGGATGGTTTTCGAACATGGAGACCGGTCACCACCGCTGCGGTCTTCACCAAGTCTCAGTTCTCCAAGGGACACTTGCTCTGACAATAGGAATGGCTAAAAGGCCAAGATACATCCGCATTCAAGTTCTTTCACTGAATGGTTTGTACGAGTGTATGCATCTTAAAGAGGGGTCAATTCCCGGTAAAACCCTCCTCCATGATGACTCATGATGCAAGAACCTTTTCGCGGGCGCCTGGCTCTGGCCAGACTGGTCGGTTTCCAGGTGTGCGAAGAGGTTTGCCAACGTCCTCCGATCCGCTTCGACCTGGGTCTACAGGGGGCGACGTCTCGTCTAGACGGCCAGTGTTGGGAGAAGGACGGAGATGAATGATAAGTCTGATAGATGGGGTCGGCGGCAGCAATAGTCTGCCCAAACTTTCGAAAGAGAACGACACTCGAGTCATTTTGTGACTCAGACTCGGTGACCGTTTAAATCCACAAGGAAGGTCCTGGTGGGCATATCTGGTGGATTCTGGTGGGATGTCTGGCTGGTGCATTGACGTCCAAAACCGAGCCCGTCCATCCGCCTGGTCAACGCGTTCGACCCTTAATCTCCAAGTCGCTTCACTGGCTCGGTCGTTGTCCTGAAAGCTGTGCACCACCAAGGCCATGATCAAATTGAGCACTCCAAAAACGATCGTGAGAAAGGAGCCCACGAAAATACAGGCAGTTGCTGGATAGGTCCTGACAGGCGGCCACAAGATGACTCCATGAATCAAGTCAGGCTGCGACTATATATCATCTGTTGTAGAAAACCCGGTTGGATCAGCGAACAATAACACAGTTTCTGGTTTGAGGTATCGCTTCCTGCTGGTGCTTTCCATGTTCCAGTGTGCGAAGCAAAAGCAGCTCAAGAAGTTTGGCGCCACTACCTGATCTAAAGATCCCAATAACATCTCGCAATCGTTCAAATCTGGAGGATGATTACCATCTACATCCATCTACTGTCTACTCTTCCTATATGTAGGTATGGGCACACCTATAAGATGATTGATAAAATGACATCCATTTCAACATACACCCCTTTTCTTGAGAACCTAACCAAACAAAAAAGAATGCCGGTGACTGACTCTTGTCCCCTCCGCACCTCTGGCTTTGCCGTGCGAATTGCTTGTTTCCACTTGGCAGATTGTGTACCCCGAGAGCCTAAACCATTCGTTTTCACCTCAATCCGAGGCACTGGATCAAAGGCACCGCTAGTTCGCCCCAATCATCACCCACAATCACCGTCTGAAAGAGAAACAAGTTGGCATCCATGACCTCGATGAGACGTAAGGAGGTACTATGTATGATATTGTATGTATGTTTGTGCTGTACACGACCGTAAAAACGGCTTGGACACCCTGCGAAACCTCATGTAGTTCTGCCTTCTAATTACTAATAATGTATACATAAATAATCTAGAAACCAGTGGGCATTTATTCTCAATTCTTCTTGGCCTGAGGACTGTCCAGTGTAAAAGCAGCAAAGCAAAGAAGTACATGGAGAAAGGTGAGAGGTAATAAAGTAGAGAAAGGCGGAAACAAGCAAAAAGCCAGTCTTGGACACAAAGAGGGTAGGTATGCCGGGTATGTTTGTCCTCACAAACACGGGTTGCGGAATCGTCCAAGTGGCTGAAGACACCGCCCGCTGGCAGCGATGGCAGTCCGAAAAGGCACCCAAGTCTTGCAGTTGTTTCACTAATGGATTGACCATCTCCACCAACAGCCTCGTGGAAGGGACCCGCATGGAAGAAAGGGTCTGATGACGCGTTCTCCAGCGGGATGGATGGGGAGTCATACATGTGCCAAGACAGAAAACTATAGAAATCTACCTGGCACCTCTTAACGTATGGTGTCAAAGACTCTCTGAGGAGGTTGAGAGAAACATGGACCAACTAAGAACAATTAGAGCCGAAAATGGTCGAAGAATTGGGAGAGACCGAGTTCCAAAGCTACGTCGTTCCTTGGGGACGCGACAGCTGTTGTTCTGCTCGGCCGGTTGCGCGCCGGTAGCAGGGGTCCTCCACGTGGATGACCGCCCTGGTTACTAGCTGTTAGAAGACTTAGTACTTAGTAAGTATAACTTAACTATAATAACATAATACAACCATACTCATAAGTTGCCTAACCATATTTATGAGTCACCCACTGAGTCACCCATATACATGCAACTACTTACTGACTTGGCCAACCACTCAGAGACCGTTACTAGACATCTAATCACTTAGAAGATTCAGCTCACATATGCTGCTACGTTGTGGAACCGACTTAGCCTACTTAATAACTGGATAGAGTGTACTTAGCTAAGTCTTCTCAGTGACTTCGGCGTGGCTTAGCTACAGTAAGTAGTAGCCTAAGTCGACCTAGCGTGCACTCAGAGTTTTGGTCCGCTCCTCGAAGACGGGGAATGAGTCATGGAGAAGTGGAAAAGCGTTTTTAAATGGAGAGGGTGATGTTTTTCTTGAAACATGAATCGATTCACCAGCCATTTGCAGGCTTAATGGGGTTTGATTTCTAGCTTGATCTGTGATATTTTTTCTCCGCCACATTCCGGTGCACCATCTCCCATGGCGTCGGACGCCGCGCGGCATGCTCCACAGGGTCATCACCCCGAAGCACATGGCGAAGGACACCATGAGCTGTTTCACCTGAAGAAGCTTGCTACTTGTAGCTTCTTGCTACTAGTAGCGATGGCCTCCAATTTACTAGCGATGGCCTCCAACCTACTGGCTTCTGAACCCACCAGAAGTCGGACAGTTGGATCAGCTGAATGTCATAGTTCGACTAGCCGCCTAGCCACAAAAGAAACAATTGGCCTAGAAGAGCGTACAAAGTCCACTGGTGATTAAAAAGCAAAGGATGGCCAAGAGGCAAAAGAGCGTACCGTAGTACGAAATTGATCTATCAGCTATCAACACCTGACTCTACAGGTCACTGGCAGAAACTGAAACAGGTATCTAAGGCCTCCATGTCCACGACCCGACCTGCTGGAGCACGCTGCTGACCCCTTGAGCATTTAACCATCAAACGATGTTTCAACATGAGTTTGAGCAAGTCTAATTATGAGTTCTAGTTCTTGGTTGTTTTCTTCATGAATGTTTGAGCCATAATTGTAGAAACCGCTACAACAAATCTATACAACTATATAACATAAATGTACTAAATGGTCTGCATGGATCCTTCTTCTTAGTTGTTAGGCTTCCACTGCAACAAGTCCTCTGCGCCGTCAGTTCGGATTGGATGTCCACTGGCCAAAGGAAACGGTCAGACCAAAATATCTCCGGACAAAGAACTTGAGCCAGTGGAATCTTGACATGATCGACATCGCCTACCAAACATGGGTCAGCTTCATCAGGCTTCGGAGAGACGGGCAAGGCGAACTATGCGAATGTGAAAAAAACAAAAAAATTGACAAAACCCGACCAAACTGAGATCGTCGAGTCACACAGAAGGTAATCTTCTTCACGAGGTTCTGAAGCTCAGGAATCCTTGGAATCCAAATGACCATCTCTTTTCACAACAAGAACGCTGAGAACACCCAAAAACCATGGGTTTGGGCCAGGAAATCATGAGGCATCACCATGGCGGCCGGCTGGGACTCACTGGTCCCGAAAAACTGCAAAAGGTGGCCGGGCAACCACTTGCGCGCTGGGAATTTACGTCTCTTGTGCACTGGACGTCACTTGCGCACTGGGCATCAATCACTTGTGCACTTACCTGCTTCCTAGCTGCGGGGTGGGGCCTACTCCACATGCAACTAATGAGTGGGTTGGGGTGGGGGGTGGGGTGGGGGGGTTGCAGTTGCCCACCATACAGTGTGACTCCGAAGTGCTGGAGGGGTTGGCAGGTTGGACAAGGTCAACATCTTTACACCCACACACACACTTACGTTTGATTGCCTTTCAAAGCACACTTCTGCCACGCAAACTCACCTGCGCGCGCAAACTAATGAGTGGGTTGGGGTGGGGGTTGAGGGGGGTTGAAGTTGCCCACCATACAATGTGACTCTGAAGTGCTGAAAGGGTTGGCAGATTGAACAAGGTCAACATCTTTAAGTTCCTACACACTCTCACGCTTTGATTGCCTTTCAAAGCACACTTCTGCCACGCAAGCTCACCTGCGCGCGCAAACTAATGAGCGGGTTGGGGTGGGGGGTGGGGGGGTGAGGGGTAAGTTCCCCAAAGTGGCAGTAGAGGATACTGGACCTGATCGAGTACACCAAGAAAGACCCAATCTCACGCGAGTGTGCGAGTGGCAGCGATGCACACTTTTCTCTATGGCACAGAGTGCAGTAGTGGGCTTCAAAGTCTTGAGCCAAATGAATTAAGCGGCAGCTGACTGGTATATACAAACTAACTACGGACAACAGGTGCTACACACGTATAGCGTAGACACGCCTAGGGGAGCCTAGGACCCTACAAAACACAAACAGACACAAATGTTCTTCGTGTCGAAGCTTACGGCTGCAAAAGGTACAAAAGCTTGCAGAAGCAAAAGCATGCACATGAATTACAAAAGTTCTGGCTTCGCAGAACTTGACCGTAGATGCCATTCTGGCTCGTAGATCTATAACGTCAGACTATCTACAAAATCTACGAAAGGCATATCTTGATGTAAACCTTGCTCCTAGTAGCGTCCTTGCTCCTAGTAGCAATGCCAGGAGCCCCTAGTAGCGTCCTTGCATGTCCTTGCTCCTAGTAGCAATGCCAGGAGCCCCTAGTAGCCCCTAGTAGCGTCCTTGCTCCTAGTAGCGATGCCAGGAGCCCCTGGTAGCATCCTTGCTCACAACGGTCAAGTGCACAAGCGACTAAAATTTCCAGTGCACAAGCGACAAGAATTTCAAGTGCACAAGCGATTGCTCGCCCGCAACAAAAGGTGAGCATGGCTCGGAATTGGTTATTTCGCGGCCAGGCCTCGCTGAAAGTGGTGAGGACCCGGTCTAGTTGCGCTTGGAGGAGGGGGTCGCCGCCCAAAAGACCACCCACCATCTCGAAAAAGAAAAGGACCGATATTAAAGAAAAAAAATGATGCCCGGTGGCACCCTTCACCTCCTGGGGATTCTGAGGTTCAGCTCCGCCAGGACAACACACTCACCGTTCCCGCCATGATGTCTTTCAGCATTGTGGGGGCTTCAAACGAGGCAACTTGCTGCTGGGCCTCGGGAGCTTCCAGAAGACACGCAGCAATCGCAGCAGCCGGACCACTTCAAAGAGTCTCAGCCATTCCTCGGGGTGAGAATTAGGGAGGGAACGCCTTGGGCACTTCTGAAAGTAGTAGTATTCTTCTTCTTCTTCTTCTTCTTCTGCTTCTTCTTCTTCTTCTTCACCGGTTCTTTTGGGGGCCCACCTTTCAGGATGGAAGTTCCCACAGTGAATCGCACAGCTTCTTTGGAGCTTTGTCACACCAGGGTCGGGAGGATCTTGAGGACACCCGTGCGACATCCGGTTTCCTCACGGTGCCAAGCAACATGAGGCAAGGCAGCTGACAACACGAGCTCGACGAGGCCAGAAATGACGACCGCAAAAAGGAAGAGGTGATCCCGCAGGATACTGAAACCTCCCAGGTGCAGAAAAGACGTCACAACACTCGACGGGGAGGAGATGGAGGAGAGGGTGATTTCCAGTGATGACGGGAGAACACTCAAGGTGATCCAAGCTCTGAAAAATGTTGCCTTCGTCAAAGCTTTGGGTTGAAATCCATGTTTCAGCCCAATCCCTGGATCCCAACCTTCCAAGCAAATGTAGAGCAGTAGTTCCCCACAATAGACCAACCAGCAGAAGTGCGACAGCATGACCCAGGCTGGAGAAGGCGTCATGCTGGCAGCGCGGTGGTCGATCATCACGCAGGCGGCCAAGCCATCAAGGAGGAGGACCAAAGCCAGGAAGCTCTGGCATGGCCTCGTCAAGCTGAGGCGGATGAAGCGTGAAGCACTAGGACCCCGGCAGGAGGTCTTGGGCATTTAAGAAGGGTAGGGTAGTACTTCTCACCAATAGAGTTACACTAACTGAAATAGTCATGGAAGTAGAAGACCACCTACTTCGGATTTCATGGTCATCCGAGGCCATGCCATGATGAAATTAGGATGATATATGTATGGAAGGGATCCCTGTGTCTTTTTCCACTCGCCACAGAACGATCACCAGGGAAAGCAAGCGCCAAAGCATCCTTGATGGATTCATCTCCATTCCGATGCTGATCACGCGTGAAAAGAGCTGGGTGGAAAGGAAGATCAAACATGTGACTCAAAGTGCCCGAGGTTTCATAAGGGGGCGGTTCATGTCCTTTCATGGAGAATGATGGTTGCGGGTTGATTCAGTCACGAAGGTGTTTCTCCCCTGTCAGGGTTGTCTCCACGTCATCAGGGCTTCCAAGGCACCGGCTCTTCACCCACCGCCCAGCTGCGCTCCACCGTCCGAGCCCGTCCTGGGCCGTTTCGGAGATCGAGGTGGCTTTGTGTTCAACAGGTCGGTATCACTCGGAGCCCATCCAAATGGGGATGGAAGATTGCGGGCAGGATTTCCACATACACTGGGCCACACTGCGCTAATTGGTCATGTCAATCTGAAGGGTGTGGAAGTTGATCAACAGGAGCAGCCACCAGTCACCTCCACCTGCCTCTGGGTCTTAAAGCTCTGACCAAGAAAAGCAAAATACAACGAGTTCTGATCCCGGAATGAATTGTCTCATCTCATCTCTGTCTTTCTTCGAGGACGTGATGTAGAAACCCAAAACCAAAACTACCTCCTCCAAACTGGCACGGCAAGCTCCAAGCATACCTCAAAAAATTCTAACAAGTCATCTCGTGATCCTTCAAGAAGGAGGTGGAAGGGTAGTGTTTCCTTTAGCACTCTGCAAACTAGCACAACTTCAACTCTACTGGATGCCAAGACGGGCCCCCATGCCCCATCGGACCAGAAAAACTCAACAGGGTCGTCTGAGCAAAGGGTCTTTTGGGTGGTCAAACTTACAAGTTACGGTGAAGTCCTTCCTTCGTTCAGCCGAAGCCCTAAAAAATGTGCAACATCCAAACATGTTGCATGATGTTTCTCTGAATTACATCTAAAAAAGAAAAGCTATTAGTAACAAGTGCCTTACTAGTAGTAACAAAAAGCTATTAGTAACAAGTGCCACGCTAGGTGCCATTCTTCGACTGTTCACTTCTGTGCCGCCCATCCAGTCCATGGAGCTTCCAAGCGACGATTGGTTCGGTCCAGGTGGAATCTTTGCTCGACATGCCCATGGCGTCGATGGCGTGACGGATGAGAGAAAAGTCGAACCGTCGACTGGGCCGTCGACTGGGAAAAGTGCCACAAGTAAAAGCAAGTAGAAGCTTCTTGGAGGTGTGTTTCCCCAATTAAACTTGATTGACCGGCATCTTCACGCAGAAGCACAGAAAAAAGATACATGGAAGGACAAAAAGAGATGTGTTTGGTTTCAAGCTGTAGGTTTCTCATTTCCAGAAGTCGTGGCTTGTGCTCTTGTGCTGTCCAATCGCCACTCAGCCCCGGACGCTACACGTTTTGGCGGAAACAGCGCAGTGTTCCCACAGCTCCACAGGTGTCCGCGCCTACGAAGCGATCACAGTCAGGGGACCGAATTGGATGGCTGATCCGGGAGTTTCAAGAGAGTCCGAATCTTCCGGAGCACATTCTTGTTTTCATGGTGATTATTTTTTGGACTACACCAGCTCATCTATTCTTCTCGACAACATCCGACCAGCTCTGGCCTTTCCGAAGTCTGCCGAGGTCGACCCATCGGCTGAAACTGCTCATAATGAGACCCAAATCCCTTTGATTTGACCCAATCTGCCACGTGTGCACTGCTGGCTTGAAAGCGCAGGTCACCACATCTTTGTGCGATTGGCTTCAAACCTAGTAATGCTTTAGTTTCCTGGTCTCTTTCAGGTCCTTTGGCTAAATGAACTCCTTGATAAGTATATCTCAAACAACCAACCATTGGTGGCTGCAATGTTCAGGTGTCATCTAGCAAATCTAGCATCATCTAGCCATCTTTGGAGGGCAGCATCTTCTCACGATCCAAGCGGCCTACTTGAGCTCTCCGGCCGCCGTTGCTACGCAGTAACGCGCATCTTGGGAGATTCCGTCGCTCTCTAGAACGTGTGAGTTGATCATTTGTCAATTGAAGGGGCACAAAAGCCTCAACATGAAGGGGAAAATATGTAAAACTATATACATGAATATAAATATGTGGACAACATGGCAATGTGCCCTCAATAAACAGAAAGATATATATATAATATATATTAAAAAATGAAAACTAGTAATTAACCAAATACGAAAAGACCCACATGAACCAAACACAACAAATCAGCTTCCATTGTCCAAAAAGTCCCAGCCACTGGTGAAGATAGGATGATGTATCGTCTTCTCTCTTTCCAAAAAAAACAAATCCGATGGCCTTTGGGTCTTCTCCCTTTGGTGAGCTTGCCCAACTCAAAACTCCGGTGACGCGACCGGACAGTCCATGGCTCGCTTCAAGGCATGTCTCGCCTGGTGAACAGAGTGAACCCCCTCATGAGATTCCCAGATATATGATATATACTTATAAGCTTACTTGTTGTAACGTATCTTGTCTGTTTCTACCTGTTCTTGTGCAAGGAGCTGTTTTAGTCTCTATATGCGAACTAGTTATCAAGGTAACACGTCCATCAATTCATGCGCATAGTTGATCCAAGATTCAAAACATGGGAACCCCAACTGGATGACGCCTGAGTCAGTAAAAAATATTATTAATCGGAAGAAGTGCGCAGTATTCTACCTACTGTCAGCGGTCATAGAGTCATAGAGGCATCAACTCCTGACCAGAGATAGCTATCTTTCAAGATCAACCACTGAATGAGTGTAAAATCCTCTTCCATTTAGCTTTCTGAAAAAGAACTGCGTCACGGCCATCCTTTTCTGAAAAGAAGTCCGACAAAGTCTGGTGCAGCATCCGATACATGGCTCAAACAGAACCATGGAGACCATGGAATTGTAGAATATATATATCATGTCAATAATATCATTAATTCTTATTGAGAGATATTCAGAGTATGTATAGAGTATGTATAGAACATCTTGTCAATTCATTGAGCCATGGTTCGTCCCCAAGGGCGGATCCTTGTCGGGACGCACCTCCACCGCGGCGATGCGCCGTTCGAGGCGTTCCAGTCGCTCGACGCTCACCTCGGGGGGCAACTCGCGCGCGAACGCGAAGGGGAGGGCAACAAATCTCGTGTCGATCACGGGTTTGCATTGAAACATGTTCATGCTTCACAGACGTGCAACTGGAACCCAGTCTCTCAAGCGAATCGGACCTCGAAACCGCCAATCCTCAAAAATCAATCTCAAAAAGAACTGGGCGTTGAAGGACCATGCGCACAAAGAAAATCAATAAGAAACATGTGCTTTCTGCCACAAAGCATCATTGATGTTCATTGTAGATGGTAAATCCATGAATATTCCAACAAGAACCTGAGGGCTCACAACTCATCTCCTCATTTGCTCACTCTGAGTCCCTCACCTCTTGATCTTCCCTGGGCAGCTGAGCAGTCAAGAGACCGACGCAAAGCAGGGATTGGCCCTGTCCACTGAATATATGGACCTTCCGAAATAGGTCCTCTGGAGGACCAGACAACCCGATTCTACTGGGTGTTTCTCCAGACTTGGCATCTGGGCGAGTGGAGGATGATGTTACGCCAAGGCTCAAGCCCAGGCGGACCACTTGGCAAATTAACCCCCAATCGCAAGTGAATTCCAATACAAGATTGGACGACTGAAAGAGGTTTTGACACTGGATAAAGAAAATAAGCTTTCTTTTCTAAACGCTCGACCGAGGGGTCTTCCCAGTTGAATTGAAATTCCAAGTCCCTCTGATTAATTTACCTCCTTTAGGATGGCTTGCAGTGTCTTTGCTTTCAGTCATTCTGCCCTCACCTTGGCCAAATGAACGCTACTAGGGGCTCCTGGCCGTACTACTAGGAGCAAGGACGCTACGAACGGGGCTCCTGGCATCCCTACTAGGAGCAAATCTGAGTTTCATTTCGTCCATGACTCTGGGAACACTGACGGGCTGGTCCCCAAGTAGGCAGTACCTCCAGAGCAACGGACGGCTGAGGCACCAGCGTGAAGCAATCCACTACAGGTGATCACCAAATTATCCACCAAAAGTTTCACCTACTGATTGTCAAGGCTTGTCCCTCAAAAGCCTTTAATAGCTTCTTAGTTGGGAATTGCAACCTTTCTCAACAGTTTTACCTATGCCAGGCAGTTCACTCCCAATCATCATAAGGCTACTTTATACTGTCAGCATCAACTCATCCTGAATTGGTAGTTCTTGATTTTCATAACTGGTATATACACCAACTTCTATTCAACTATTGGAAAATGCACAATTTCACATTATGTCTGATATCACCATACTTATTTACCATCCATCCTTGATTTAATCATTGAATTTCAAGACTTTGCCGTACTTATTGCAACCACGTTTGTCTATGTCAGGGACTTTATCGTAGAATAGTTGCTATCAATAGCATTCAATGCTTTCTTCAAATTATGTCTCTGTTCAACAACATCTTGCTTGTAGTTCAGAAACTACACTTTACAATATAGTAATTGCTTGTTGCTACACTGGCCAGAAGAAAGTTGCGCTTCTTGATGTTGAAACTCATGACA